CACGTACTGTATCATTTTTTTTATTTAAGAACATCGAGGGAGTAGTGAAGAAAACGAAGAACATCCGGCTCCGCGCTCACCTTTTCGACGCTGCGGTCCTTCCTGCTTTGACATACGCCTCAGAGACTTGGACTCTACGAAAGCAGGATGAGCATGCAGTTAGCGTCATTCATCGCGCTGTGGAAAGGACGATGCTCGGAATTTCCCTATACACGCAAGTGCAGAAGGGAATCCGGAGTTCCGAGCTCCGTCGACGAACGAAGATCAGGGATGCCGTTGATTACGCCAAGAGATCGAAGATCAGGTGGGCTGGACGCGTTATGCGATTTAATGATGACCGTTGGACCAGGGCGGTTACGGACTGGGTCCCTCGGGACGTCAAGCGAACACCAGGACGGCCGCCAACGAGATGGTCAGACTTCTTCACGAAAGCTCTGAACGAAAGGAATGTTCTGCCCCGTGTCCCTCGAGCGAGTGCGATTCACTGGACTACTCTGGCTCGCGACAGGGGCGAATGGAGACGTTACTGGCGCCCGCTCGAGGAACTCGACGATCAACGGGAGTACAGGTGATACAGGTGATACTGTATCATTTTTTACTACATAATTCATCGATTGCTTCAGGATTTAGGTAGCGAGGCGAAATCAAGCGAGCAAACAGAATTTGCAGCACTCCATTTAGATTTTTCAAAGAATAGCGATAGGAATGGGGCATGGAGGAAAGCCCTACTCTTCCAGCTTTTTTAAGAATGGTTTATAGGTGAAATCAGTGCAATTTCAAGAAGCTTGATTTATAGAAAATAAATAGGGATGAATTCTTCAACCCCTCTGTTTCTTGGTATAGGAAACTAATTTCTTCGGCGAACATCTGCTCCTAGTTAGAAGAATTGTCTCAGCTGAGAATAGACCTGCTAAATCCGTGAGTATAAGAATTTTTCGATTACTTCTGTGTCTGATGGAGGTGGAGACCGCAAGAAGGTGGCTTCCTGTAACGGGTGGTGAGGGGTGGTGGCCAGTAATGCGCACTATCACACCTATGGTCCTGGAGCTTGAATCCTGGAATCCAGCTATGCTTCCATCTCCCTGGAGTTGGTTGCTCGGTAGCAGACCGGTCTAGGAGGATAAAGGCACTGACTCGCCCATCGATTAGCCACCACAAGTCATGTATAGGCTACACACCCACTCGAAACGCAGGAATCTAGCAGGAGATCGAACACGGTAGCGCAACCCAAAAAGGATCGGATAGCGCGCGAGCTAAAAGCTCGCTTTGCAATTGAAGTATTGGTGTAATAATAGGAATTCTTTGCACGTTTTTGCCGTTATCGGCAACTTCTTGTCATCGCCTCACCAAGCCCTACAACAGCCTTAATGGTAAGAAAAGGCAGTCATGTTGATGTTATCAGAGAGGAAAAGCCAATATAAAATGATAGAAGTTGATAGCCATTGTTTAGCTCAACAATTTGGTAAACGTCTATCAGTATAAAAGCAAAACAGGAGTAAGGTTGCCATACTTCATTCCCCTACTTCTTTCAATATTCATGCAGCGACCGGCACCTCCTTCCTATCACCTGGGTGATAAGCCCAGAGCTGTGCCTTCCGTCTACGCTGCTGATGTGAGTTTAATCTCTTCTATACCTTCTAATTCATAAAGATAGTCTGTTGGTTTCAGCTAGAACTCGTTAGCGGAGCTGCAAATACTAGAACATCCATGCAGACTGGGTTCCGCAACAATCTACCTCACACCGAACAATTCGAAAATCTAGTGTTGAACGAGGCTGGTGATGCACCACGACCCGTTTACTCAACCTATGCAAACTTATCGCTCAGCTACAACTCGACAACAGGTATGAGTAGATGAGAAGTTAGTGAAACATCCGCCACCTCCCCCACTGGGCTTGTTCTTACACTTTTGGATAGCGCCTTAATTTCTGGGACCTATTGCAGTCAGTCCACTACTACCTCAGATATTCTGGTGGCCCACCCGCCTCATATCGAGCCAAGTTAGACCAAGCCAGCCTCCGAGTCAAGTTACACTTTCTTCCTCGGACTGGGTGGACTTTCTCTTCTGAAGAGGGCTTTCGAGTGCAGTAAGCGGGAGTATGACGTTTGGCTAGCTTTGATGTATCAACGCCTTCAATGAACCTGGCAAGCTTGTGCAGAGGGTACATAAGTCCGCATTTGGCTAAACACCGTTGGACTCGATTTTCTCACACAATGATCCCTATTCCCAGTCAGTTGTCCAGCTACGCACACTATTATTTTATTTAAGTTACTACTGGTTAGTTGTCTACGCATTGAAGTAGGTGAAAGGGAAGGTGAGGGTGATCGAAAGGTGAAGGTTGATAGGAAAGTAGTGCGAGACAGACCCTAATCGAATGTGGTTATGGCCGATACAATGCTTTTCTTTTATACTAACGATAACGAAGCGGTCTGGAGGCTGGGAGCAGCGCAAGGCAATTACGAATGATCGAATATATCAGAGTATACGGAACCTTAACTTTTTTGATCAACATTTACTCCTTATTGGGAAGGAGTGGGAGCTACGGGTGTAAGTGTACGAAATAGCATTGCAAGCTAAAAGACATCGAAGAGACACAACGAGTCCCGTGTGAGCAGCATTCGGCACGATATAAGAGCAGACCTTGAGAGTTACTCGTAGCTGCATACTACTACTCCAGCACTGCTACCGAATGGAACGAAACAAAGGTAAAGAATACAGAGTCGGATTTCAAAGATTCGTGGATTGGTGGTACAGTAATCTCCCCTGGGCCTATCACCCAATCCGTTTTGTTCAAGGATGATGCTTTCTCACTGCAGACACCCTATGGGAAAATGAAATGGCTCACAAGTACTCCTTTCTTGTGCCATCAAACACACTAGCTCCGTTTGGCAAAGGAGCTGACATGCTCACACCGACAACTAAAGGCTCAATAGTTAAACAGAATCAAATTTCTGCCTATGTAAGTCCTTGTATTCTTTTGTCCGTACCTCTGGGGCACCTAAGTATAATAATTCAAGAAGTAGTTCCGGCTATCTATAAATATAGAACATGGAAATGAAAGTTATAAAAAAAAGTGCTCAAGGCTTTCGAGTCTGCAAAAGGTGAGAGAGTTGAAGGGAATTGAACCAGCAGGCACTGATGTAGAAATAGCACTGGTGGCTCGATTGTTTCANAATAGTTAAACAGAATCAAATTTCTGCTTATGTAAGTCCTTGTATTCTTTTGTCCGTACCTCTGGGGCACCTAAGTAATTCAAGAAGTAGTTCCGGCTATCTATAAATATAGAACAAGGAAATGAAAGTTATAAAAAAAAGTGCTCAAGGCTTTCGAGATCTGCAAAAGGTGAGAGAGTTGAAGGGAATTGAACCAGCAGGCACTGATGTAGAAATAGCACTGGTGGCTCGATTGTTTCATCATCAGCATACCACCAAGCAGCGCTTGCTGTTTTGCTGACTTCGTATTTTTCAATTTTTATGGCTAGAGGAATTGTAGTTGCAAACAGCGCTCAATAAAAGGGACTGTTTAGGGCCAAAGATTCTTGACTCCTTCCTTGATACCTGGTGATTCCAGCGGCTTCCGAAAATAATCAAAAACTTACGTAGTCTACAGTAAAGTTTTGAGCAAAATGTGATTTTTTTTCAGCTCGACGGATAAATGAAGATGTTAAGAATTGTGATAGATCGTTCACTATTTAATAAGTATTTGCATGCGTCAGTGTTGTTTTTGGATGTCCCAGGCACACTACTGTATTGTTGCGTGTACTGTATACTAACAACGTTATACGGTATAGCGGGTATAGGGGCTGCGACATATTGCGGTATTGCGGAGTGCTTATTAATCTTATCAATTATGACAGCTCAAAAAGTTCAAATTTTGTGTCACCTTAATGCTCATGCTCATCGGCACAGCTAATTCAATTGATAGCAAAACTGACGGGGTCTTTTCTGATTCCCCTCAACTTCTCGATAATAAAGCTTCTTATTAAAATTGTACCAGGCAAATTAAGTGGAACCAGCAACTATGCCATCAAGAAATGGTCTCACATGGAAGTGGGGACGCCTCGGCTGAAAAGCCTACGCGAACTTGTTTCGCATAGAACCTGTCTAGGAGGCCTCAGTTGCGTTACTGTTAGCTGCTGCTGCTTTGAGACTATCACAGACGGAAAGTTGTCGAGAAATCCACATCTCCATCGTTTTTAGAGAGGTCCAAATCAAACTTTTTCCATTTTCTCGTCTCTGAACTTCAGGTCTCTGTATAAGTCTCCTGTAGTGCTCTTGTATTGATCACTTCCAAGTATTCTCTGGTCGTTTTTGCTTAAGTAAGATTTAGTATATGGCGGAGATGTTTTAGTGGGAAGCGGTGCACTATCACAAGCACGGCCACGAGTTCGAATTCCACATTGATATTTGTCTAAGCCGACCGAGCCTTCCATCCCTCCTGGGTCGGTTAATTGGTAACAGACTCGTCTAGGAGGTTGAAAGCACTGGCTTGTACATCGGCTGGCTACACCGAAAGTCATTGTAGAGGCCACAGAAGCATTTAATACGCCACTAGATTCTAAATGGAATGCGAGTGCGGGGGCACATCCTTCAGACAGGATTGAGTGGACTGAACCCTATCCTTTTTACCTTTGAATATCCGGTACACTCACTGATCAGTGCTGTAATCAATGTAGAAGATTTGAAAGAACATGTATTCATTAATATATTAACAATTCCATTTGAAAACAGACATTTACATTTGTGTACAACGATCATCAGAATCATCATTAACGTATTGTCGAACATTGTAGGGAGAGGAAGTGTTCTCTTTTGAGCCAGAAAGGTTGGTGGTGTAATAGTTTTGGAAGATTATGCAACGGTTTTAATTAACGAGTGCTGTGTCACTGAACCATTGGCATGATCGCGTCGGGTCTTCCGTCGTGTCGGGAACCTCCGTAAGAGGTAGTTGTTCGCAGCAGCTGTGAGTTGGGCTGAAATAATGTTTTGGAATTCGTGTACTGACCTCAAATGCCATTTAGACCAGATCTTCAAACTAAAGGTAACCAGGGTGTTCACAACGGTGGTATTCGAACTATTGTTCGAGAAAAGAAAGCAAAATTGTGTAGGAAAGTGCCATTTGAGTAGAAGTAGGCCGTGATGAATAGCTTTCGTGAAATTTCATAAACTTCTATAACTGAATCACGGTGCGAGCCGCTGACATGCTCTACATACAATGGATTGACAAGGGTGTCACGTAATTTACAAGAACACCGCTTTTATGAAAGACGAAGCATCATTTAAAAGCTAGCGCTTCAAAGCTCGACAACTTGACGAAACGGTTTAGGCACAGAAATGCGAACGGTGATACAGAAATAACACAAATTGCGTTTGAAAGGAAAATAAAGAAGAGAACTAGATAAACACGCATCATATCTAACCCATTGAGAAAAAGCCCTTGGCTAAAGGGACAGGAAAATGAAGTGAGGGGTAGCGGATCTTGTGCCCTAATTCT